CTATCACTACTACTATCACTACTACTATCACTACTACTACTACCACCACCACTACTATCACTACTACTACACTACCACTACTACTACCACTGTCACCACTACTAGTACTAGTACACTACTACTACCACCACTATCACTACTACTAGTATCACTATCACACTACTACTAGTACACTACTACTACCACCACTACCACCATTTCCATTACCACTACTAACACTACTACTACACTACCACCACTACTACTAGTACACTACTACTACCACCACTATCACTACTACTACTATCACTACTACACTACTACTACTATCACTACTACCACTACTACACTACTACCACCACTTCCACCACCACTACCACCACTATCACCTTTACTACCACCACTACTACCACCACTATCACTATCACCACTACTACTAGTACACTACCACCACTATCACTACCAATACTACCACTACTATCACTATCACTACTATCACTATCACTACTATCACTACTACTACTACCACTACTACACTACCACTACTACTACACTACCACCACCACTACCACCACTATCACTACTATCACTACCAATACTACCACTATCACTACTACTACCACCACTACCACAGTCACCACTACTACACTACTACTACTATCACTACTACTACCACTATCACCACTATCACTATCACCACTATCACTATTACTACCACTACCACCACTACTACCACTACTACACTACCACTCCTTCTATCACTATTACTACTACTACTATCACTACCAATACTACAACTATTACTACCACACTACTATCACTACTACCACTACTACACTGCTACTATCACTATCACTACTACTATCACTACTACTACTATATCTACTATCACTACACTACTACCACCACCACTATCACACTACTACTATCACTACCACCACTACCACTATCACTACCACACTGCTATCACTACTACACTACTACTACCACTACTACCACTACCACTACCACCACTATCACTACTACTACTATCACTACACTACCACTACTATCACTACTACTACTACTACACTACTACCACTACTATCACTACTACTAGTACACTACTACTACTACTACCACTACTACCACCACCATTACAACTATCACTACTACCGCTACTACTACCACCACTACTACTACCACTACTACTACTACACTACTACTACTACTATCACTACTACTACCACCACCACCGCCACCACTACTACTACACTACTACTACTACACTACTACTACCACCACCACTACTAATATCACCACTATTACTACCACACTACCACTACTACTACACTACTACCAATACTACTATCACTACTACTAGTACACTACTACTACTACTACCACCACCACCACCGCCACCACTACTACTACACTACCACCACCACTACCAGCACCACTACTACACTACCACTACTACTATCACTAATACTACACTACCACTATCACTACTACTTCCACTACTACTATCACTACTAGTAGTACACTACCACTGCCACCACCACTACTACTACTACACTACCACCACTCCCACCATTACTACTACTACTATCACCACTATTTCTACACTACCACTACAACCACACTACTACTACAACTACACTATTACTATACTACTACACTACCACTACTACTATCACTACTCCTACTACTACTACCACTACTACCACAACTACCACCACCACTACTACTATACTTCCACTACTACTACCACTACTACTATCACTACTACTAGTACACTACCACTACTACCACCACCACTACCACCACTACCACCACCACTACTAATACCACTGCTACTACACTACCACTACCACCACTACTACTACCACCACCACTACTACTACACTACTACTACCACTTATACTTCCACTACTACCACCACCACTACTACTACAACCACCTCTACTACTACACTACTACTACCACTTCTACTACGACTACTACCACCACCACTACTACTACACTATCACTACTACTACTACACGACCAGTACTACTACCACCACTACTACTACTACCAATGCTATCACTACCACTACTACATTACCACTACTACTACTACACTACCACTACTAGTACTATCACTACTACTACCATCACTACTACTACTACACTACTACTACCACTACTATCACTACCACTACTACACTACCACTACCACCACTACTACTACCATCACCACTACTACTACACTACCACTACTACTACCACTACTACTACACTACCACTACTACTACACTACTACTACTATCACTACTACTACACTACCACTACTACTACAATCACTACCACCACTAGTACTACACTACCACTACTACTACACTACCACTACTACTACACTACCACTACCACCACTACTACTACCACCACCACTACTACTACACTACTACTACCACTTCTACTACCACTACTACCACCACCACTACTACTACACTAACACTACTACTACACGACCAGTACTACTACCACCACTACTACTACTACCACTGCTATCACTACCACTACTACATTACCACTACTACTACACTACCACTACTACTGCCACCACTACTACTACTACACTACTACTACCACTACTATCACTACCACCACTACTACTACACTACCATTACTACCACTACTACTACCACTACTACTACCACCACCACTACTACTACACTACCACTACTACTACCACTACTACTACACTACCACTATTACTACCACTACTACTACACTACTACTGCTATCACTACGACTACTACTACACTACCACAACTACTACTACACTACCACAACTACTACTACACTACCACCACTACTACTACACTACCACTACTACTACACTACCACTACTACTACACTACCACTACTACCACTGCTATCACTACCACTACTACACTACCACTACTACTACTACACTACCACTACTACTACTACCACCACCACTACTACTACACTACTACTACTACTACCACTACTACCACCACTACCACTACTACCACTACTACTACACTACCACCACTACTACTACACTACCACTACTACACTACCACTGCTACTACCACTACTACCACCACTAATAATACCACTACTACTACACTACTACTACACCACCACTACTACTACTAACACTACCACCACCACCACTACTACCGCCACTTCCACTACTACCACTACTACCACTGCTACTACCACCACTACTACCACTACCACCACCACTGCCACCACTACTACTACACTACCACCACCACTACCACCACCGCCACCACCACTACCGCTTCCACCACCGCTACCACCACCACTACCACTACCACCACTTCTACCACTACTACCACCACAACTATCACTACTACCACCACCACTACCACTACCACCACCACTACCACCACCACTACTACCACCACTACCACCACTACTACTACACTACCACTATCACCACCACTACCACCGCCACCACCACCACTACTACCACCACCGCCACTACCGCCACCACTGCCACCACCACCACCACCACCTCCGCCACCACCGCCACCACCACTATCACAACCACCACTACTACCACTACTACCACACTAACACCACCACTGCCACCACCACTACCACAATACTACACTACCACCACTACTACCACCACTACTACTTCCACCACCACCACTACCACCACCACTACCACCACCACTATCACAACCACCACTACCTCTACTACTACCACAATACTACTGCAAAACTACTACTACCACCACTACTACTACTACCACTACTACTACCACCACCACCACTACTACTACCACAACTACTACCACGATACTACTACCACCACTACTACCACTACTACCACTATCACAATACTACCACACTACCACCACTACTACCACTATCAGCACCACCACAACTGCTTTTACCACCCACCGTGAACCCCACCCACCCACACGGCCACCGTGAACCCCACCCACCCACATGGCCATCGTGAACCCCACCCACCCACCCACACGTCCACCGTGAACCCCACCCACCCACCCACACGTCCGCCGTGAACCCCTCCCACCCACCCACACGTCCGCCGTGAACCCCACCCACCCACCCACACGTCCACCGTGAACCCCACCCACCCACCCACACGTCCGCCGTGAACCCCTCCCACCCACCCACACGTCCACCGTGAACCCCACCCACCCACCCACACGGCCACCGTGAACCCCACCCACCCACCCACACGTCCACCGTGAACCCTACCCACCCACCCACACGGCCACCGTGAACCCCACCCACCCACCCACACGTCCATCGTGAACACCACCCACCCACCCACATGGACACCGTGAACCCCACCCACCCAACCACCCATCCACCCACCCACCCACCCACACGTCCACCGTGAACCCCACCCACCCACCCACCGTGAACCCCACCCACCCACCCACCCACACGTCCGCCGTGAACCCCACCCACCCACCCACACGTCCACCGTGAACCCCACCCACCCACCCACACGTCCACCGTGAACCCCACCCACCCACCCACACGTCCACCGTGAACCCCACCCACCCACCCACACGTCCACCGTGAACCCCACCCACCCACCCACCCACACGTCCACCGTGAACCCCACCCACCCACCCACACGTCCACCGTGAACCCCACCCACCCACCCACCCACACGGCCACCGTGAACCCCACCCACCCACCCACACGTCCGCCGTGAACCCCACCCACCCACCCACACGTCCACCGTGAACCCCACCCACCCACCCACACGTCCACCGTGAACCCCGCCCACCCACCCACACGGCCACCCACCCACACGTCCACCGTGAACCCCACCCACCCACTCACCCACCCACCCACACGTCCACCGTGAACCCCGCCCACCCACTCACCCACCCACCCACACGTCCACCGTGAACCCCACCCACCCACCCACCCACACGTCCACCGTGAACCCCGCCCACCCACCCACTCACCCACCCACCCACACGTCCACCGTGAACGTGTTTGCAGGAGATGGCGAGCGAGAATTCGTCGCTGAGGGCCGAGGTGGAGGAGGTGCGGCACGCCCTGCGAGACAACGCCTCAGCCGACACCGTCAGAATGCTGCTCACCCACCCGCAGAGGGTAACGGGAGCTCGCAGACACGCGCACACAGACACGCGCACACAGACACGCGCACACAGACACGCGCACACAGACACGCGCACACAGACACACAGAAGCTCCGCCCGTGTAGCCTCGACAGATTCTAGGGGGCAAGCGCTGTTTGGCGAGCGGCGGCTGTGAAGGTCGGCGCTGTGGGCACGCACCACGCCCGGCCGCCTTTGTCTCCCCGCTGGCGATGTTCACTACAACAACAACGCCACCACCACCAATACACCAGGTGACTCGTTTGAGGCCGAGTCGACCCAGGGGGAGGCCCCCAGGGCCGGTTCGGGTGACCGTCGCCGGCGGTGTTGGCCGTGAGCGGGAATCGAACCCGGGTCGCCGGGTTTCGTAGCGCGGTGGGTGTAGCGCTAACCGCTGCACCACCGCTCCCCGCACGCGCGGACACACACAGACACACACACACAGACATAGTGACACACAGACACACACACAGACACACACACAGACACACACACACACATAGTGACACACAGACACACACACAGACACACACACACAGACACACACACACACACAGACACACACACATAGTGACATACGCACGCACACACAGACACACACGCACAGACACACATACACACACATAGTGACACACAGACACACACACAGACACACACATAGTGACACACGCACGCACACACAGACACACACACACACAACAACCGCACATTCGCCACTAAGTGGCGGTGACGTCACCAGGACGCTTGTGCCAGGCTATGTGCACCCTTAGGCCACGTGAAGTGTCGAACGCCCGCTGGCAGGAGGTCACGGGGCAGACCCAGCAGGTGCCACGGGTCGACTGACTGAGATGACTGGCTGATGCACCACCTGTGCCCCCTACTGTGCCAACCTGCTGTGCTTTAGCCACCCGGCGCTACGCTCGTTGTTGTGAGCATCGCTCCTCCGCCCTCCGTTGTTGTTGGAGGGCGACTGCCTCCAACTGCCCAGTAGCGTCCTTCACGAGCCTCCTCCACAGAGGCCGATCTTGACACCGCTGGTACCAGTCATCGGCAAGTCCACTCAGCCCCACGTCCTCCTGTACCACATCACTCAATCTCTTCTCTAGCCCGTGCCGCGCCCGCTTAGCCCCCTCAATCCGGCTGAACAAAAGCTGTTTCGGCATGCGGTGGCTGGGCATGCGGGCTACATGACCCAGCCAACGCAGCCTTGCCTGCCGGAGGAGCTCACCGATGGGACCTTGCCCAGATCTTTCAAGGATTTGTGAGCTCCTCACACAATCCAGCCTGCAGATTAAACCCAGGATGGATCGTAGGCAGGCCAGCCTAAATGTTTCCAACCGGCGAAGATGTTCCATTAGGGGGGTCCACGTTTCACAAGCGTAGAGAAGGGAGGGAATGACCGTGGCCGAGAAGACCTGAAGCTTAGTGCGGAGCGACAGACCAGGTAGCTTCCACACAGCGTTACGCAACCGATGAAAAGATATTGCCGCTCGACTGATTCGGAGTGAGACCTCTGCTGTTAAACCAGAGCCGGTCATGAGCACACTGCCCAGGTATGGGAAACTCTCCACTCTCTCCACAACTGCCCCATCACCGAATGGGAGTTGTGGGGGTGGAGTGTCCGATGGTACAAAATACCCAGGCAGGTGCTTAGTTTTGGTGGGGCTGATGGTAAGGCCCCACCTCTTAGTGGCACGCTCCAGTCTCAGCAGCAGCGTCTCCAACTCCTCCTCTGACTGAGCAGCTATTACCAAATCATCAGCATACATAACGTGGTTGAGCAATAGGGAGCCATCCCTTGACCGCACCCGGGCATCGATTAGCCTCCCATTATATCTGTACCATATGGAGATTCCCCCGGTACAGCTATTGAAGGCTTCACGAACTACGTGGTCAAAATAGATGTTAAATAATGTGGGAGCCAGAGGACATCCCTGTCGCACCCCAAGGTGTACAGGGAATGGCTCTGACTCCCGGCCACGTAGTTTTACCCGGGCCCGCTCACCATCATGAAGGTCCTTAATGATCGTGAGGTACTCCAAAAGGTCAGGTACTCCAAAAGCACGAAGAACGACCCAGAGCCCAGGCCTACTGATGGTATCATAGGCCTTGACCAGGTCAATAAAGCAGAGATGTAGGTCTTGTTGGAATTCCCTACACCTCTGCTGTAGCAGACGGACAGAAAATATGGCATCTGTGCAGGACCGCCCTTTCCTGAAACCGCATTGGGGCTCCGCAAGCCTCTCCTCAGCGTGTCCTGGCAAGGCGATGCTGAATAATCCTTGCCAGGACCTTTCCCGGCACACTGAGGAGTGAGATGCCCCTGTAGTTGTTACAGTCTGTGCGGTCCCCCTTCTTAAAAAGGGGGACCACCTGGGCATCCTTCCAATCCCGTGGAACCCGTCCAGTGGTCCAGACTGTTGTTATGATGTCATATAGGGCAGTCTGTGCACAAACGCCACCCTCCCTCAGCATTTTGCTTGGGAGATCATCTCTGCCCGCTGCCTTTCCTGGTCTCAGACTCCGGATTGCCTTCAATACTTCCTCAGCAGATGGCACCTCAGCCAGCCACTCACAGGGGGTGACTTCTTCCAATATTTGAGGCACCGCAGCCTCAGCAGGGTCATCCTCACTTTGTGCCACGATGTTTTCCTGGCTGAGGGATTTTCCCTCCCCCAGGACCTCACAGAAATGCTCAGCAAATCACACACGCAGTCACACACACAGTCACACACACACACAGTCACACACACACAGTCACACACAGACACACACACAGTCACACACACAGTCACACACACTCACACAGACACACACAGGCACACACACACAGTCAGACACACACACAGTCACACACACAGACATGCACACACAGACACAGTCACACACAGTCACACACACACAGTCACACACACAGTCACACACACACACAGTCACACACACAGTCACACACACACAGTCACACACACTCACACACACTCACACACACACAGTCACACACACTCACACACACACACAGTCACACACACAGGCACACACACACACACAGTCACAGTCACACACAGCCACACACACACACAGTCACACACACACACAGTCACACACACACACAGTCACACACACACAGCCACACACACACAGTCACACACACACACAGTCACACACACATACACACACAGTCACACACACACAGTCACACACACACAGTCACACACACAGTCACACACAGTCACACACACACACAGTCACACATACACACAGTCACACACACAGTCACACACACACAGTCACACACACACAATCACACACACACACAGTCACACACACAGTCACACACACACAGTCACACACACACAGTCACACACACAGAGTCACACAGTCACCCGATCCTAACCTGTAACGAACTTTCATCTTCCCTCTGCCCCTCCACCCCTCCTGGACCGCCGCTCCCCACTCATTCCACGCAGGAGAGCAAGGTGAGTGAGATATTGACTACCTCGCCAGGTACACAGGAGGTCGTGGGTTCAATCCCAGACCCTGTGAGATGTTGACTACCTCGCCAGGTACACAGGAGGTCGTGGGTTCAATCCCAGACCCTGTGAGATGTTAACTACCTCGCCATGTACACAGGAGGTCGTGGGTTCAATCCCAGACACTGTGAGATGTTGACTACCTCGCCTGGTACACAGGAGGTCGTGGGTTCAATCCCAGACCCTGTGAGATGTTGACTACCTCGCCAGGTATACAGGAGGTCGTGGGTTCAATCCTAGACCCTGTGAGATGTTGACTACCTCGCCAGGTATACAGGAGGTCGTGCGTTCAATCCCAGACCCTGTGAGATGTTAACTACCTCGCCTGGTACACAGGAGGTCGTGGGTTCCATCCCAGACCCTGATGAGATGTTGACTACCTCGCCTGGTACACAGGAGGTCGTGGGTTCCATACCAGACACTGTGAGATGTTGACTACCTCGCCTGGTACACAGGAGGTCGTGGGTTAAATCCCAGACCTTGTGAGATGTTGACTACCTCGCCAGGTACACAGGAGGTCGTGGGTTAAATCCCAGACACTGTGAGATGTTGACTACCTCGCCCGGTACACAGGAGGTCGTGGGTTCCATCCCAGACCCTGATGAGATGTTGACTACCTCGCCTGGTACACAGGGGTTCGTGGGTTCAATCCCAGACACTGTGAGATGTTGACTACCTCGCAAGGTACACAGGAGGTCGTGGGTTCAATCCCAGACCCTGTGAGATGTTGACTACCTCGCCTGGTACACAGGAGGTCGTGGGTTCCATCCCAGACCCTGTGAGATGTTGACTACCTCGCCTGGTACACAGGAGGTCGTGGGTTCCATCCCAGACAATGTGAGATGTTGACTACCTCGCCTGGTACACAGGAGGTCGTGGGTTCCATCCCAGACCCTGATGAGATGTTGACTACCTCGCCTGGTACACAGGAGGTCGTGGGTTGAATCCCAGACCCTGTGAGATGTTGACTACCTCGCCTGGTACACAGGAGGTCGTGGGTTCAATCCCAAACCCTGTGAGATGTTGACTACCTCGCCTGGTACACAGGAGGTCGTGGGTTCCATCCCAGACCCTGTGAGATGTTGACTACCTCGCCAGGTATACAGGAGGTCGTGGGTTCCATCCCAGACACTGTGAGATGTTGACTACCTCGCCTGGTACACAGGAGGTCGTGGGTTCAATCCCAGACACTGTGAGATATTGACTACCTCGCTAGGTACACAGGAGGTCGTGGGTTCCATCCCAGACACTGTGAGATGTTGACTACCTCGCCTGGTACACAGGAGGTCGTGGGTTCAATCCCGGACCCTGTGAGATGTTGACTACCTCGCCAGGTGCACAGGAGGTCGTGGGTTCCATCCCAGACCCTGTGAGATGTTGACTACCTCGCCAGGTGCACAGGAGGTCGTGGGTTCCATCCCAGACCCTGTGAGATGTTGACTACCTCGCCTGGTACACAGGAGGTCGTGGGTTCCATCCCAGACCCTGTGAGATGTTGACTACCTCGCCTGGTGCACAGGAGGTCGTGGGTTCAATCCCAGACACGGTGAGATGTTGACTACCTCGCCTGGTACACAGGAGGTCGTGGGTTCAATCCCAGACAATGTGAGATGTTGACTACCTCGCCTGGTACACAGGAGGTCGTGGGTTCCATCCCAGACCCTGATGAGATGTTGACTACCTCGCTTGGTACACAGGAGGTCGTGGGTTGAATCCCAGACCCTGTGAGATGTTGACTACCTCGCCTGGTACACAGGAGGTCGTGGGTTCAATCCCAGACCCTGTGAGATGTTGACTACCTCGCCTGGTACACAGGAGGTCGTGGGTTCCATCCCAGACCCTGTGAGATGTTGACTACCTCGCCAGGTGCACAGGAGGTCGTGGGTTCCATCCCAGACCCTGTGAGATGTTGACTACCTCGCCTGGTGCACAGGAGGTCGTGGGTTCCATCCCAGACCCTGTGAGATGTTGACTACCTCGCCAGGTGCACAGGAGGTCGTGGGTTCCATCCCAGACACTGTGAGATGTTGACTACCTCGCCTGGTACACAGGAGGTCGTGGGTTCAATCCCGGACCCTGTGAGATGTTGACTACCTCGCCAGGTGCACAGGAGGTCGTGGGTTCCATCCCAGACCCTGTGAGATGTTGACTACCTCGCCTGGTACACAGGAGGTCGTGGGTTCAATCCCAGACCCTGTGAGATGTTGACTACCTCGCCAGGTACACAGGAGGTCGTGGGTTCCATCCCGGACCCTGTGAGATGTTGACTACCTCGCCTGGTACACAGGAGGTCGTGGGTTCCATCCCAGACCCTGTGAGATGTTGACTACCTCGCCAGGTACACAGGAGGTCGTGGGTTCAATCCCAGACCCTGTGAGATGTTGACTACCTCGCCAGGTACACAGGAGGTCGTGGGTTCCATCCCGGACCCTGTGAGATGTTGACTACCTCGCCTGGTACACAGGAGGTCGTGGGTTCCATCCCAGACAATGTGAGATGTTGACTACCTCGCTTGGTACACAGGAGGTCGTGGGTTCCATCCCAGACCCTGATGAGATGTTGACTACCTCGCCTGGTACACAGGAGGTCGTGGGTTCAATCTCAGACCCTGATGAGATGTTGACTACCTCTCCTTGTTCACAGGAGGTCGTGGGTTAAATCCCAGACCCTGTGAGATGATGACTACCTCGCCTGGTACACAGGAGGTCGTGGGTTCCATCCCGGACCCTGATGAGATGTTGACCACCTCGCCTGGTACGCAGGAGGTCGTGGGTTCCATCCCAGACCCTGTGAGATGTTGACTACCTCGCCTGGTGCACAGGAGGTCGTGGGTTCCATCCCAGACACTGTGAGATGTTGACTACCTCGCCTGGTACACAGGAGGTCGTGGGTTCAATCCCAGACACTGTGAGATGTTGACTACCTCGCCTGGTACACAGGAGGTCGTGGGTTCCATCCCAGACACTGTGAGATGTTGACTACCTCGCCTGGTACACAGGAGGTCGTGGGTTCCATCCCAGACCCTGATGAGATGTTGACTACCTCGCCTGGTACACAGGAGGTCGTGGGTTGAATCCCAGACCCTGTGAGATGTTGACTACCTCGCCTGGTACACAGGAGGTCGTGGGTTCAATCCCAGACCCTGTGAGATGTTGACTACCTCGCCTGGTACACAGGAGGTCGTGGGTTCCATCCCAGACCCTGTGAGATGTTGACTACCTCGCCAGGTATACAGGAGGTCGTGGGTTCCATCCCAGACACTGTGAGATGTTGACTACCTCGCCTGGTACACAGGAGGTCGTGGGTTCAATCCCAGACACTGTGAGATGTTGACTACCTCGCCAGATACACAGGAGGTCGTGGGTTCCATCCCAGACACTGTGAGATGTTGACTACCTCGCCTGGTACACAGGAGGTCGTGGGTTCAATCCCGGACCCTGTGAGATGTTGACTACCTCGCCAGGTGCACAGGAGGTCGTGGGTTCCATCCCAGACCCTGTGAGATGTTGACTACCTCGCCAGGTGCACAGGAGGTCGTGGGATCCATCCCAGACCCTGTGAGATGTTGACTACCTCGCCTGGTGCACAGGAGGTCGTGGGTTCCATCCCAGACCCTGTGAGATGTTGACTACCTCGCCAGGTGCACAGGAGGTCGTGGGTTCAATCCCAGACACGGTGAAATGTTGACTACCTCGCCTGGTACACAGGAGGTCGTGGGTTCAATCCCAGACACTGTGAGATGTTGACTACCTCGCCAGGTACATAGGAGGTCGTGGGTTCAATCCCAGACCCTGTGAGATGTTGACTACCTCGCCTGGTACACAGGAGGTCGTGGGTTCAATCCCAGACCCTGTGAGATGTTGACTACCTCGCCAGGTACACAGGAGATCGTGAGTTCCATCCCGGACCCTGTGAGATGTTGACTACCTCGCCTGGTACACAGGAGGTCGTGGGTTCCATCCCAGACAATGTGAGATGTTGACTACCTCGCCCGGTACACAGGAGGTCGTGGGTTCCATCCCAGACCCTGATGAGATGTTGACTACCTCGCCCGGTACACAGGAGGTCGTGGGGTGAATCCCAGACCCTGTGAGATGTTGACTACCTCGCCTGGTACACAGGAGGTCGTGGGTTCAATCCCAGACCCTGTGAGATGTTGACTACCTCGCCTGGTACACAGGAGGTCGTGGGTTCCATCCCAGACCCTGTGAGATGTTGACTACCTCGCCAGGTATACAGGAGGTCGTGGGTTCCATCCCAGACACTGTGAGATGTTGACTACCTCGCCTGGTACACAGGAGGTCGTGGGTTCCATCCCAGACCCTGAGAGATGTTGACTACCTCGCCTGGTACACAGGAGGTCGTGGGTTCCATCCCAGACTCTGAGAGATGTTGACTACCTCGCCTGGTACACAGGAGGTCGTGGGTTCCATCCCAGACCCTGTGAGATGTTGACTACCTCGCCTGGTACACAGGAGGTCGTGGGTTCCATCCCAGACCCTGTGAGATGTTGACTACCTCGCCTGGTACACAGGAGGTCGTGGGTTCTATCCCAGACCCTGATGAGATGTTGACTACCTCGTCTGGTACACAGGAGGTCGTGGGTTCAATCCCAGACCCTGTGAGATGTTGACTACCTCGCCTGGTACACAGGAGGTCGTGGGTTCTATCCCAGACCCTGATGAGATGTTGACTACCTCGCCTGGTACACAGGAGGTCGTGGGTTACATCCCAGACCCTGATGAGATGTTGACTACCTCGCCTGGTACACAGGAGGTCGTGGGTTACATCCCAGACCCTGTGAGATGTTGACTACCTCGCCAGGTACACAGGAGGTCGTGGGTTCCATCCCAGACCCTGACGATGCCTGCTGCTGCTGCTGCTGTGATGGGCAAAGTGTCGCTTCTGAGAAAGAGAGACAGAGTTTCTCTGGACACAGAAATTGTTTTAGTGTGGGTCTCTGTGTGTCTCTGTAGGTCTCTGTGTGTCTCTGTAGGTCTCTGTGGGTCTCTGTGGGTCTCTGTGGGTC